CCAGAGAAAAAAGTCTGGAACTGTCAAGTCACGAGAGTAAGGTGTCCATTTTATAGGATCAGCTCTCCTCGCCTATCTTTTCCCAAATGTCATATCTAGTGATTCCCTTGCTATTTAAGAATAATAAGGTGAAGCACCATCCTGCTGAAAATAGATATCGTTCGAAAGATCCTCCCGTCTTAATTGTGGATAAAAGAAATTTTCCAACATATCAGTGTATACAGTTCCTATTATCGTTGATTCATTAATGAAAAATGGTTCATATTTTTTTTTCAACAGAGATTGCATACCAAACTGTTACTTTTGGGATATCTCGTTATTCTCACTAGAACTCGTTAAATTCTCTTGGAAAATGTATTTTAACTTAGTTGATATCTAACTTTCATATTTACAAAATTGTTTGCCATACCTAGTGATAGCAAGTACCTACAACATGAAGTTGCATGATGCTTTTGCAAAAATACCAGGATTTCGATTTCAATTTTCTACGGCTAAAACTCCAAGTTTTAAGGACGATGTTTATTGGTACATGGATACCTTAAACATGACTCTTTTTTTTGACCTTGTGATATACAGAGCGTTTCATTAAAAATAGTGGAGAATTTCGATGTTGAAAAACGGATTTTTTTTTACTCGCCCTGTATAAGAGGCAAAAAATTTTGGAACCTACTAAAAAAAACTTTAGGCCAAGAGAAGTCGAATGGTGCAAACCGCAGGTAGCTGGCACACCTGGTTTAAAAGTTATAAGCATTTAAAATGGGTCACTCTCGGCTGGGACACCCTGTATTATGTCAATTTCATCTGGTTTTAATCGTAATTATCGAGTTTTTTACAAAAATGGAAAATTTAATTCCCTTCAATTTTGGCACGTCCCTTTTTTCCTAAAGTCAACCATTTTTGTGCACCTAAATCCAAGATAGCGGAGTAAGCCGGCTCCCTCCCCCTAAGGTTGAAAACTAATTTTTTTCTAGGGCTTCAATCTGAACAACATTTGTCAAAATCGCGAATACGCCCCCTTTTGCAAGTCAACCATTTTTGTGCACCTAAATCCAAGATGGCGGAGTGAGCCGGCTCCCTCCCCCTAAGGTTGAAAACTCATTTTTTTCTAGGGCTTCAATCTGAACAACATTTGTCAAAATCGCGAAAACGCCCCCTTTTTGCAACCTTTTTTTTCTCTAATGACTTTTTTCGCTCTAATGACTATCATTTATTTATTTATTTATTTATTAACGGCAAGGCCAATTTACAAAAACAATCGTAAAACAATTTACAATAAATAGTTTGACAATAACTAAATCTAAGCACTAACAATCACATCCTGTTCTTCCCCAAGTTAATACCTAACCAAAAAACATACGACTCATTTTTAAAAAACTAACCAGCAAGCAGCGGTTGCAATCTCCTCTTAAAGGCAGCAACAGAAGGACAACCAAAGATGTCAATACTCCGGCTCCTGGAGTTGGCAAACCTGAGCACTCTTGAGATCGACTCATTCATACCATAATTAGTATTATGGAATGGTACATAAAACAGGTCAGAACCTCTCACCCTTCTTTCTCCTGCTCTCAAAGAAACGAGACCCAAAAGATCCGGGCAGTCAATTAACCCTCTCAAAAGTCTGTAAAGAAAGGAAAGATCCGCCCGAAGTCTCCTGCTTTTCAAGGTATGAACATTCAAGATAGCCCTTCTCATCATAAGCATACTCATCATGAGCCAAGCCCAACCTGTAAGCAGCCACCCTTAGAAATCTATTCTGAACCCTTTCCAGAGCTGCAATGTGAACAGCATATTGGGGTGACCAAACAACTGATGAGTATTCCAACAAGGATCGGACCATCGCACAGTACAGTGTTCGCAATGTACTCACTGACATATCAGTAGTGGACCTACATATAAAGCCGAAACATCTAACAGCCCTTGATACAGTATTAGTACCATGGCCAATAAATGACATCTTGGAATCAAATTCCACACCCAAATCTCGAATGCTCGCTACTTCCCTGATTGATGTGTTATTAATTGTGTAAGGGAAATTCACCGACTGGGCCAATCTGGAAAAAGTTATCCTATAACATTTGGCGATATTGAGGTCCATTTCGTTCAAGCCACACCATTTGTCAAAAGAATTGATATCATATTGCAGCAGTTGTGAGTCTTCCAATGATGATACCTGACGATAAAGTTTAAGGTCATCTGCAAATGACAAAAATGAGCTGTGGGCAACAGAACTACCCACATCAGATATGAACAGATTGAACAAGACTGGTCCACAGTGAGACCCCTGAGGAACTCCAGAAGGAACATCAAAGACCCGAGACACAACACTGCCATACCTTACTGCCTGTGTTCTCCCAACAAGAAAGTCATCAAAACAACTCTGAATTGAACCTCTCAGCCCCAAACAACCAAGCTTCCTAATGAGCAGGCGATGGTTAACCCTGTCAAAGGCTTTAGAGAAGTCCGAGTATACAGAATCGACTTGGAATCCCCTCTCCATGCTGTTCAAAATAAAATTCTGATACAAAACCAAATTTGTTGATGTTGACCTACCCACCGTAAACCCATGCTGTTCCGGATTTAAAAGGTAACTGCAGTCCCAGCTAAGTTTCCTGGTAATGAGACAATCTAGCAACTTAGGAATCTCAGACTGCGTGCAAACAGCCCTGTAATTCGTGACCTCTTCTCTTGACCCACTTTTAAATATTGGTTTCAGAAAGCTGAACTTCCACAAAACCGGGTAAGAACCTGTTGACAATGAATGGTTGAAGAGACTTGCCAGGGGCGTCGCAAGGGTATACAGGCATTTCTTTATAAAGAGCAAGGGAATTCCATCCGGCCCACATGACAACTTATCAGGTGAATTTCTTACTTGTTCTATTATATCAGCACAAGAAACAGAGTATGAAGAAACATCAGTGACGCTGGAGAATGAGTATTCTGGAGCCTGGTTAGTGGTGCGGCTCGAGTACACAGTTGAAAAGAAGTCTGCAAACAAGTCTACGGTTTCTTGATTACTACAGCCAGTAGAGCCATTATAACTCATGTTACAGGGAAGGACAAAGTTATTTTTGAGATTGTTGAAATGTGACCAAAATGATCTAGGGTTCCTATTGATGTTATTTTCAGTTTTGAGCAGGTACATTCTATAAGAGGAGTCCCTTAAATCCTTGCACCTATCCCTCACTTCAGAGAACAACAAATAATCCAAGTTATCTCCCGTTTCTCTATATTTTTTGTGTAGCTTCTTCTTTTCAACAATCAATCTACGCAGCTCAGTGTTGAACCACAAAGGAAAGTTCGAAGTTCGGAATTTCTTTACTGGAACATATAAGTAAAGTTATCCCCTCCCCTCCCACAATGTTTCATAAAACCATAGAACAGCCTGCTCAAGGGTCAAATCATTCATCAAACACCAATTCACACTAGCCAAATATTCATTCAATGAAATGTAATTGCCACTTTTAAAATCAAAGAAGCACTCCTCATATTTAGAACGTTTGCATTCTACATTATGGCTGAATCCCATAGATATAGCAGTATGGTGAACACTATTACTCAAAATCATATCGGTGGCTCTGTCAATCTCAACAGTACCCAAGTTTGAAAACACCAAGTCGAGCAAAGCATTCCTGCTATTCGTGATGCATATCTGACAAAAATTGTAATAATTTAGACACTCTATCAAATCATCATATGTACCTTTATCTACTAATTGTTTTTTTTGGTATTGCCTCGGCAGTGTTTGTACTAATATAGGTTATCAATGAGTTGAGATCAATACTTAGGTTGGCACCAGCAGAATCTTCCTTTATTTACTAGAACTATAACTGCACCCCTCAAAGAACTATAGAACTATTTCCAAAAAGGCAAGAAAAGAACTCATGAAAAAGTCGAGAGTGCTATAATTTAGGGTGCTAATTATGCAGGGGTGGGTCGAATCAACTACCATCTGAAAATATTGCCCATGTAAAACAAAACCTTTGAAGATAGATTGGTCATTACTAAAAAATGTTAAAAGCAACAAAGGTGCACTTTAATCAAAGTTATTTGCTGGTGGAAAGTATATAGGTATTCATAATTTTATAAAGATTATAGTTTAATGGCCGTTTCCACCAACTATTTTAGGGAGCCTTAACGATAGGTATTCCTTAAACTGACATTTCTCCATGTAAAAATGTCATCATTAGAGCTCCCCTAAAATAGTTGGTGGAAACGGCCATTAGTTTGTTCAATATTAGGTTCGAATATACTGCATCAATCAACTCCAGTCCCTGCTAAAATATACTCTGTATTAACAGTACAATTTAGTTTTAAAAAATCCCTGGCACCAGAAAGTAAAGAGTCAAGGAAAGCTGTGTAGGTATGTAACTAGGGTTGCCAGACCTCCTATTTTTAATATGAGACTCATATATTTTAACTGTTTCTCATATCTCATATTAGCATGTTTAATATCAGATTCTTCCTCATATATTTTCCCCAAAAAAACAAAAAAAAAAACATGTATATCACTATTATCACTACCCTACACGTGAAAGACCGAAGTGTCATGCTTCCGTTATCCGATCCCAAACGACTGATGGTACGACGAAGCTGCTATTGGCTAAAAAATTTCCCGCCACTTTCTATTCAAATAAATATTTTCAACTTTTTTCTGACGTCGGACAAAGTTGAAATAATAACAAAACAATTTTGGGTCAGAGATTTGTTTAAACATCAAAAAACTCAAGGTGTTGTCCACTACTTGTTACAATAAATGAGACTGACGGACCAGGAGGCGTATCTAACTACCTACCTAAAAGAATGTCTAGCAATACATTTCAAAATCGGCTAAAAATCATAGCTAATTGTCAAGCTTGTTGATGGGAGCTTTTTCGGGTTTGGGCATTTTGCAGAAGGTACATATATTATTATCCAATCTCATATAAATTTATACAGGGACTCCTATTTTCAAAACTCAAGTATCTGGCAACCCTATATGTAACTAATGGCTAATGTCTCACCAGTTTTAATGTCACAAGTACTAGAGTCCTCAGGATGTTCACTATTTAAATGGCTTCCAGTAATAATATTTTCTGTTCCATTATTAACTGGGAAAGGTCTGACAGTTGCTTCCACACATGAGTCCAAATCCATTGCTTAATATTCAACTTGTACTTTCTTCTTTCTTTCTATTATGACCTAAAAATAATGTTTGTTTTTATTTAAATAACTGCTACCTAAATTGTTGTTATAACTATTTACTTACATCTTTTTCTGAACATCCTTTTCCAAACTGGCCAATTTTATGATGGATTTACAACTTTTAACAATGTAATAAACTCCCCCTTGACAATTGCTGGAAAAATGTTTGCAATACTATTGTTTTTAAAAGTATTTGCGATTTGTGATTTTTGTGAACCTAAAAAACTTAATGACATAAACTAGGTACCTAGATCATTGTTTTGTAGCCGGATTTTGCTTTCTAAAATTGTTCTGTAAATTTTAGGTAGCAATATTTGACAACAACTAAGGAAAATTTGTAAAATCTACCTACATGTTTTTTTGGTTATAGTTACAACAGGTTATAATAAATTGCAGCAGAGAATTACATAAAAAAGGGGATAATGGGAATTTAGAAGTATTTATCAATTACAGTTAACTGTATTTAGCTTGTTCTGGTTCTGACATTTATCATGTTATCAACAATAGTTGTATTCCTTTCAAGAGTTTAGAACACTTAGAGCTACTCGCTCCGGTGTTAGTCGATTTGAAAGGAACAGATGCGCTGGCTTTCGTGCATTTGAATGGTTTAATTCGGGCTTGAGCACTCAGTGCAACAAACACTTTTCGAAAGGAATAGGCGCGTAACGCCCCGGAGCTGTTCCGGAGCTCCTCGTAGGTGTGATAGGAATACAACTATGATCTCAAATCTCAGTACCTTTTTTTATTTATAGAAATGGGAACAAGAATTTCTTCTTTTACTTGCCTTTTTTTTAACCAATGCCATGTTTAATTACCAAAGTAAAAATATTGAGTGTTATTTTTCTTTTTGGCAGGCATTTTCCTTTCATATACGTGCGGGTACACCGAGCGTATTCGAATCAACAACCCATTAAAAACTCATGGCTGGTGTGCACTCGGTGTGACGCCCAGGGAATTTCGAACGCACTCTTGGTATTGTTGGAGCCAATGAACTATAACCAAAAACTGGAATGCTAACCACATAAGGACGAACGTGAAGCCTAGTGCAGCTGCTGCGGAGGGGATACCTGTTTTTGTCGCACTCATTATGTTAAATGGCGAAAATTGCTTCCAACACGTATTCCAATCGATGAAACCTGTGAAGGGAAATAAGACAAAACTTTCGAAAACGTCATATGACAACGAGCAACAGAAAAAAACAACATTCCCCCTTGTGTCATCTGTCTTTCATGGCTTCATTTTTTTGGCAGATATGGCAATGTGTGCGCATTCCAGTTTTTAGCTATAGTTCATTGGTTGGAGCTCCGAGCACTCTCAAGCGCGTTTGGTTAAGGCCGTTTTACAGCTTACAAGAAAACTTGAATGCTATTTTTTGCATGCAAAAAAATTGCGTTCAGGATTTCTTGCACGTCGTTTTACACCTTGCAATTTTACTTGTTTCCTTCTCTAACCCCAACCATACTTTTTTGTTTTTAATGTTGTGATGTTTGCATTTTCCAATAATGAAAAAAGTGATTATAAATCGATATAAAAAAGGAAAAAAGCAATAGCAGCCATTTGAAGCATCATAATTGCTAAAAATTCCTTAGCTTGCGCGAAAACCTTCAAGAAAAATAGCACCAAACCGATTGCATGCAATGCCATTCAAGTTTCAAGAATCTTGCAGAAACCAATCAGCTGACTCACTTCTGCGCATGCCCTCGTTCAAGTTTCTTGCATATTTCAGAAAGAATTGCAAGCTGTAAAACGGCCTTTAGGCAATTTTAAATGTTTACCTTCAAGAGTTTAGAATACTAGAGCTACTCGCTCCGGTGTTAGTCGACCCCGATTTGAAAGGAACAGATGTGCTGGCTTTCATGCATTTAAATGGTTTCAGTTCGGACTTGAGCACTTCAGGTGCAACAAACACTTTTCGAAAGCCCCGAAGCTGTTCCGGAGCTCCTCCTAGGTGTGAAAGGAGTACAACTTTCAGGTCTGTTTCTGCAGAAATCACAAACCAGTCACAGCGAATTTCATTGGTTGAAAACAGTCAGAAACTTAGTGTCAACCAATGAAATTTACTCTGATTGGTTTGTAATTTGTGACTGTGCCCGCCTATCCATCGTTCAATGAGCGAGCAGTTAGAGCAGGCATGCGCAGGTTATTTTACTTCAGCGAACAGAGAAATTCTCTTTAAATTTGGCAGATTTGAGTTTATATACCATATTGGAATGTTCCCTTCCTTTGCTATGGCAGTTACATTTATTGTTTTTGTATCTACCATCATCATCGGACAAACCTATTCGAAAAGTAGCCGGATGATTTCCAGAAATTTAAACGTCTCTACTTCATCAAATGATACTACTAGTTCTTTGGGTAGATTGGTACACCTGCTGCTGATTTTATTACTAGGTAGGTACCTCGGGCTACACTTTTTCCAGCAAAAGACGCGAAAGTCTCTACCAAATAGCTAGTCTATCCCAAAAATTTAGATAGATTCTTGATTTCCTGGTTACTTCTCAACGCCATATGCTATCGAAGTTCTCCCAGTAAGGTGAAGAACCCGTTCACTCATTGCCACTTATAGATAATATTCCACTATCCATAGTATTTTTGTTATCTGATGCCACTCTGATTGGTTTGTGATTTCTGCAGAAACAGACCTATTATATAAAAATGCAATAAAAAGGAAAAAATAAGTTTTTCCTAGAATAAATTTAGGCTGAAAATAAAATTTTGTTTCAAATAGTAGTAACTTGGAGCTAATTTTGCGTTCACAAAGGGTCTGAGCTCATCAATTTTGTACTTATCTGTATGTTTGTGTTCGGAGCAGCACTTCCTGCTTTGGGACGTTCGTTTGTGAGCGTTTTATATGGGAATATCTGTCATAATCTGAAATATTACAGCTTAGTTCAAGTTAGTGCGACACAAACAAACCTGAAATGAATCAAGTCACACCACATTGGTTGTGGTTTGTGACTCCATGTGAATGTCAAACATGGAGCGCTTCGTTTGAAAAAGCGTTGTTTTTGGAAATTACTCCAGAACGACTCCGAACGATTGGCTCCGGAGCGAAACGAAAATGCCTATTGAGGTCATTCAAATTGAAAAATGTTTTTGACTTTTGTTTGACAAAAACATTCCATTCCATCAATCCTCAATCTAGTAACTATCAAAATATATTACATTTTTACAATTTTTACCTATATTTTACAGAAAAGTTGCAGAATAATCCTATGGTAAGTCAAATTTGAATAACTACAATTGCTTATTTGCTTCTAGCTTGTTTTATCATACGAGAAACCTACACTAAGTTGGTTTTAACACTAATAACCACAAATATTTGTTTATTCTTTTCCAGATTTTTCCCTACTTGCATATAGCTCTATAATATTGATTTACTGATAGTAATTATTCAAGATATTTCGTAACGTAAAATCTATTACACCCCTTTATTACAAAATATTACTACTACAATTATTATATTTACTAACGAGAGAATACATAATACATGAATAAGTACTTAAATTATTATTTAGAGCTTAGAGTTATTTTAGGTCTTACAAAGTATAGGATTTATTATTTTAGAGGTAACATGAATAAGGTTTGTAAATTATTTATTTAAGAGGGATTTAAGAGGTTAGAAATTAGTTTAACAATAAAAGGGATTATGGTCAAAGAAAAAGGGGAATAAAAAATAATATAAAATAGACATTTGGGTTCGTAACTATTCGAAAAAATTATTATATATTAGAGTCTGTCCTTCTTAAGGGCACTCTAACTTTCTTGCAGTCTCTGAGTACGTTAGGCAGTCTGTTATAATAGCAAGAGAGCCCTGAAAACACACTTCTCTGCCTCTGGTTGTTCTCAATACTTCTAGTTAGAGATGTGAGTGTGAAAAGTTTCAATAAAATTTCATTTCATTGAAAAGTTTCAAGACAGTTCAAAACTTTTCAAAATTTCGTGAAAAGTTTAAAGATCATGAATCATGCATTGTGACTTTGTCCCAGGTTTGTTAAAACGAAAACGCATGTCATGGTCGTCGGCAAAAAAATAATTAACGAGTGAGGAAAACAGCATTTTTTGCAAGGAGAAAACAGTTGTTTTCAAGTTGCAATTATGATTTTTGACAAGTAAAACACTGTACTTTTTCTGAGACCATGTTTTGATTTTTGCTGTTAAACTCGGGGTTAAACTTATGTTTTTTTTACAAGGGTTCCTACTTGGTTTGATAGCTGGCGCCATCTATGAAAAGTGCTTGTTTTTAATTAATTTTATACTTATATTTTGCTTTTATTACATTATATAAAGCAAAATTGTAATATACTATAAATGAAACACAGTCATTCGAGTGATGGTCTATTTATTACTGAAAATATTCAATTCTCCGTGCCCAAAGGAATGGTACTCTAGTCACAAAAAACCCATTGTTAATCTAACCATACACTAATAGTGAGCTAGCGCATACATGCCTATTTAGAGACGTTATGCACATATATCACAAAAATTTACATAATTTTGTTATGAACTATGTTTTTTCATTGTGCTCCACAGAATTGAAATATAATTGGATTTGAAAAAATGTATTTAACATGTAAAATTTTAATGATTCACTCGCGTCACTAGTGAGGAAAGTTAACGTTATGGGATATTTCATCACTAGTGACGAAAATGACGTTTTCGGCTAAGGTAAAATATGACAAAAGTTGTTTATTTTTTGATGGTCATAGAAAAACAGATTTTTTCACTATTACACAATTTTTTCTATTTCCTCAATCCTCAACCGCAATATTGTGATTTAATGGAAAGGAATAATTGATAAAAATTATATTATTCATCAATTCAATTTATTGAATACCTACCTCTCATTTCGAAAAAATAATTTTAGAGGCCCTATTCTTCCTGTACTTAACGTTTCAAAAAAAAATTCGCGTTCAGTGTTTCACTATCCACATTCGTTGTTCCCGTACCGAGCAACCTTCGGCAACTACGCCACATGTGTGTACACCTTGCTCGCCGAATACAAATTAATTTACCGAGCTGCTCGGCGATAGCGAATAATCGGCGAGCAAGGTTTACACACATGTGGCGTAGCTGCGGAAGGTTGCTTGGGACGGGAATAACGAATATTTGTACAACGGATGTGGATAGTGAAACACTGAACACTAAAAACAAAACAAATCGACACTAAAATTTGCACGAATATGTGTATCTAGTGCAACGCAAATATTTGTCTTCTCTGACTCGGACCAAAAGACCGACAAGCGATGGGAAAGCATCGTATAGCAAATATTTGCCCTAGCAACTCATACACACTAATCGGCTACTTGTCAAATAGTCGTGATTAGAGACTCGCCGAATACCGCATGTCTGTGCTCGCCTTTAATGGATATTTAATCTTAGTGGAACTTTGAATGTGACTCTTGTACTCGCTCTTGTAGAAACAAATGTCACATTCAAAGTTCCACTTAGATTCAATATCCCTCAAGTTATAGCCGTGCAAATAGACATTAGTGCATTTTTACAATCTGACCTCACTCCAAGATTTAGTGGAAATTCAATAGCTGTGTTGTCTGCACAGGAAATTATTGTAAACTGTTAAGAAATTTATGTATGCTAAAAATAATATTGGACCCATCACTATCCCCGGTGGCACGGCCATTTGAATGTTAAATAGTTCACTGAAAGTATCTAGCGAGGTATGTAGGTACTAATTTCACATATTCTGTTATTCATGTGACTTTTAAAGATATCCAAAGCTGTAGCTCTAGGTAATCACGTCGAGAACATCCAAAAGTAACTCATAAGGCACGGGCACAGTGTCAAATGCATTTGCCAAAATTTGCAACTGCTAAATCTAGAAACACTGATATACATTTTTTGCTCCTGTCAAGTTTGTACGTTAGAATGTGCGTTGTTGAATGGTAAACTTCATGGTAAAGATCTTTCAAGGAAATGAAGCCACATTTCATCATAAAAAAATTAGTACCCTATCCATAATGCGCTTTTCGAAAATGTTGTCAAAACTATTACATATTATAGATCAATAGAAACCTTTATTTTATAATCTGAAGAGGACTAATAAAAAATAAATTGTAACTTTTGATAATTTTCACATTTATTCTGTCAATACTGGAACTGCTATTGGTTTGTTCAAACAATTTATTTTATTCTCATAATTTTATTTTGTTAACTGGTTTTGAATATAACGATTTCAGTCTGGATTGTTGGTTATGTTAATTTCATTATCTGCCTTAAAAATTTGATTCAACATACCCAAACCTACATTACTGAGCGATTTACTTAGATAATTACTGCAATAATTTGCAGTATTAGGTATACTATGTATGTAAAAGTAGTCTAGGATGTTTAGCACATACAGGACCAGACAGGACTGGAGTTAGTGGGACAACGCAGGAAATTGTTTTCCTGCGTACAACATTTTTCAATGTGTTCACCTCTCGCAAAAACCCTAGGAAATAAATGGTTTCGGGTGGATTGCTCGATCTGATATATTTACCTAGCTTACAATCAGTTTGTTTTCGAAGATAAGCAATCTCGATTTTACTCTCATATCAAAGCATATCAAATTGTCTTTTGAAAAACATATTTTTTTGGTTGATGAATAGTTTCTGAAAAATATAGAAGAAGTCAAAAGTTAACAGTGTGCCGATTTCTGTGCAAATTTATATTACCACAGGATGACGTTATTTGTAAACATATGGAACAAAGTAATAATTTGTTTGCCATCTATGTTCTAATTTCCAATATAATAGCTTGGGACAAAATCCATGACTCTGTCATATTGTTTTGTTTTCACAGAGCAAAATGGGAGATGAAGATCAAGCACAGCGTCGCCGTGGAAGAGGTCGTTCGCCTTCAAGAACTGCTGAAAACATCAAGGTTTTTCTACGGGTTCGTCCTTTCAATGAACGTGAAGTTAAGGAGGGCGCTAAGCCTACATTCGTATGTGATTACAGAGAAAATGTAGTAATGCTCACAAAACCACCAGAGAAAAGAGCTGGTAATGATACTGATAGAAGTCTCTTCACTCTTGATCATATATTTCCCCCAAATTCAACCCAGTTGGATGTGTATCGCCTAGCAGCTGCTCCGTTGGTTGAGCAAATATTTGAAGGCTACAATGCTACTATCTTTGCCTATGGACAAACTGGAACTGGAAAAACCTTTACAATGACAGGAAACGATAAAGATCCAGAATTAAAAGGAATCATTCCCAATACGTTCATTCACATTTTTCAAAAAATTGCAAATTCTACTGAAGATCGGTCTTTTGTTGTTAAAGTTATGTATTTGGAAATATACAATGAAGAAGTTCGTGATCTTTTAGGTAAAGATCCCAATAAGCAATTACAAATAAGAGAAAGGCAAGACATAGGTATATATGTCAAAGATTTAACTGGATATACAGTAGAAGATGGGGAAACCATGCATCAGCTTATGGAACGTGGAAATAAAAATAGAATAACAAGAGCTACAAACATGAATGATTACAGTTCCCGATCACATGCTGTGTTCACAATCGTAGTGGAAACCAGGCATAAAGAAAGAAACCAGACTACAACTGGCAAGCTAAATTTAGTAGATCTAGCTGTAAGTTTTTGATATGTTGAAAATCAATAGATAATTTTGCAAGTTTTAATTGTAGGGTTCAGAAAGGGTGGCGAAAACAGGCGTAATTGGAATTGGTCTAAGAGAATCAGGAAATATTAACCAATCTCTTTTAACCCTTGGAAATGTGATTCAAGCATTAGTTGAAAACTCAAATTTTATTCCATATAGAAACTCAAAGTTAACTCGTCTTTTGACAGATTCCATTGGTGGCAACTCAAAAACAACGATGGTAAGAATAATCACTCTCTGATTTGATTTTTTTTATGATTCAGTAGTAACAAACATTTAATTATCCCAAAAGGAGTCTATATTTTGTACCTTAAAATCTTCCATTTCAGTATGTTTATTCTTATTAATAAACAGACTATAGTACCCAAAATATACAAAGGGGCTACCATAGAAAAGAATCGGATAAGATAAATGAAAAGTAACTCAAGCTGCTTTAGCGAGTATAGCAACTAGCAAAAAAGTTAACAGAATAATCGAAACTGCTGGTCAGTTGCTTCACAACAGTCAAATTTTTGACTAAATTCAAATGCATATATTTTCGGAACCAGAGATGGGTTCAACTTACGGTTTTCAAGAGCTGTTTGGTTAGCTCTTTGAGAACGCATAAGGGTGTTTTCCATTTTGAAATCATCATATATGACTATTTCACGTAATAAAAAAAGCCATCATACCAAATTTCAGCGCTATGCGACAATTTTTAATTTTTTCGACTTTTTGAAAAATTTCGCGCGACGTGTTCAGGCCAATAAGTCATTGAGTAAATAACGAAAAAAAAAATCCGCTGGGGCAATATGAGAGGAATAAATGGGCTGCCGATTGTCGAAAAGTGTCACCAAATATTTGGCCCCGTTCAGAAATTACAGTGAATGCAAGAAAGGGGTAGTTTTCGATGCCATTTACAACTTCCTCGCACATTAGCCAAGTCCGTGCTCGCTTAATTTTCAAGCAAAAAATTCGAATAAAAAAGCATTGGAGAGTGCATTTCATTAGCAATAATTTGGTGTTTAAAAAATTGAAATCGGATTATGCATTTAGCCATTGCTCCATCAAACGCGCGCAAACAGGTCAAACGTTGATTCAGTGACCTTGAATAAAAACATGCTAATATTCAAGACGCTGCAGAAAAAAAACTATAGAAGATAGAAGGGTGCTGTCGCTGAGTTTTTTATAGCAAAAAACTTCATAACCCTTTTGAGCAGCGTTCGTTATAAACCGCAAATTACCCCTTAAAACCACCCCTAACTAAAAACCCTATGGAAGTACAAGGTCGCAAACTTAATATGTTATTAAGCACAGGAAAATGAACCGATCCCCCCCAAAAAATGTTAACTTCTAATTATGTTGAGGTAAACCCTCTTTTTAGATCCCCGTTTCTTGGACTATAATTTCAACCAACGAAATTCACTCTGGCTAGTTTGCAATTTCTGTGCGAATCGACCTATTAGTATAGTGTTTACTTTTTATTGAAAATGCCTAGAAAAAAGTGTAATATTTTCAAGTTTTTTGTGGTAGAACCGATAGCTTCCACAAGTTCGTCATCTCCTATAGAAACACTTCATTCATAGATCTATCAAATATAAGCAGATATTTTTTTCATTTTTTATTATATCCCCATTACTTTGTTTCTTTCATGCTCATTATTCTCGTTCATTCTCGTTCGTGCTCGGAGAACGTTCTCCAAAAATAAATTCTCGAGCATTTTACAACACTAATAATAATTATTCTACAATGTTGATCTATAGGGGGAATTAAAATCCAAGTTAGTGCTATGGAATAGAATATACCATGATGTTAAGTACTGCTTGTATTTTAAGTAACTATTTCAATATTTATGTATTGTAATAAATTACTAAATTCTATTGACTCAGTGGGCGACTGTGTTTTACAACACAGCTCTCCATTGCTTCTGGAATCGTCTGGAAACCTCCATTCGCGAATTTTCTTGTCATCACGCAGTGTTGCACAATTGAAGGATTTATAAAGATATTTATAAAACCCTTGATAGAACCAATACCATTATTTTCTTGCATCCAAGACCAAGAATACTTAAATCGAGCAATACAGTGTTATTTTAGATAGCTGTGCTTTCGTGCACTCTATTATCGTCTTATTTATTACATATGTCTCTCCATTTTTGTAACCTGTGTATGTCTTGTTGTAATTTAATCTCTTTCATGTTCAACCACCTTTGGGTGTTCAGTTTTTTGTTACATTTTCAGTGATTTTTGATCCCATGTTATGTGATTTTTCAATTATATTTTGCGTCTCAGCTTTTCTTTGTATACTATACATATGTGATCTAAAACTGCAGTTTTGCTGCGTCTTGTGGCTTTCTCAATTTAACATGAGGCTCTTGCATTCCTCAACACTTTCGGTATTTTTTAGCAGGTTAAAGTTTGTATATCAACTTATTACTTATTGGCTTTTTTGATTCTGAATTATATTACTTGAGTAGCTTGCCAGTTTTGCTTGCTTTGTATATACAGTTATTAGTGGTGTTGATGGCGTCATTTACTGGAATCGCTCAAACGCATTTGGTATTCTCCTGAATTATATTGAGTTGATAAATAACTTAGATTATATTTATCCAGTATTATGATTTGGTTATGATTTGGAACTCTTGTTTAGAGTATTTTTTACTAGCCAATGTGTTTGTTGATATGTCTGTCCCTGCCAGGCAATGTAAATAAGATTGTTTGTCATTTTAACAGAAGATCATTTAAAGAATCTATTAAGAATGAATATTGTGTACAATCATGGTCTATCTAGTTAGTTATAGTTTTAGTCTAGCCAGTCCTTTGCTGCGCAATCGCCACTTATCAGGAATGGTACATAAAAATACATTGTTTTTACATTTTTTCACGTTTATTAAATAAAAAATCTGGCGACGACAGGTTCTATCTAGAATAGCATTTTAGCTATCTTATTGTAAAAATTACAATTTTGAATTTTCTAGAGCAACCCACGACTTCAGTACAGACGACACAAACATATAATTAGCATTTTATAGGTATACAGGTCTGGGAAGTCAGCCTATTATGGGCCAACTTTAATGCAATAGAATGAAATGTCTAGAAAAAGTCTAAGGTTAAATAGAGAACAAAAACAATTTACCCTGTTCCACTTCCAGCATGCGGAGCTGGGAATGCCGGAGGTGGAATAGGAGAAATCGTTTTCGTTCTCTATTTAACCTTAGACTTTTTTAAGACATTTCATTTTATTGTATTAAAATTGGCCTGTAAGATGTTCACTTGCCATACCGGTATGTAGTTTACTTCAAGAGACTTAGATATAGAATTAGAATTTCAAAAACCCTAGCTTTCACGCATATAATTCATATAATGTTGAATAAAAATAAAATAAAGCAAACTTTCTGTTGTCGCTTTTGGGATAATTACATTTTGGATAACACTGAATAAGGGTGTTCATTCTAATATTAGATAGCTATGGTTGGCCCAGCTGAATCTAACTTTGAAGAAACCATTAGCACTCTTCGTTATGCTCATAAAGCTAAACATGTACGAAACTCAGCTAAGGTGAATATGCAGCAAGGAGGAGGTATGATTCAGCAGTTCGAAAATGAGATCGCAGAGTTGCAACAGAAGTTAGCCTTGTTGACGACTGCTTCTGAAGCAAAGGTAAGAATTTCTAAAATCTGGAGAATTTGTATATTATTCATTACGAACGTTTTAGCAAAAGAAAAAAGTTAAAACCGATGCTGATTTGGAAAAAATGAGAAAAGCTGAAACTGAATTGAAGAAAATTGAGTAAGTTCATGACTAGGAATGGATTTAAAGGATTTTTTATCCTATTATTCTTATAATTTTAGTGATGAAAAACAACACTTGGAAGAACGAATGTCGATGATTCAAAAGAAAATCATATGTGGAGGTGAAAATCTTCTAGAAAAAGCACAAGAACAAGAACTGCTTATTACTCACTCTGTTAAAGAAATAATAAACTTGGAGAGAAATCATCAAGTGCTTGAAGAACAGTATAATAGAATGACTGAGAAAAAGACTGATATAGAAGGAAAATACTCCTCACTGCAAGAAGAAGATACTGATCTTACACGAAAAATTGTCACGGTGCAGCAAAGGATAAAAGAAGCAAAAGATGAACATGCTGAGAGGGAGAATGAATATCAAAGAGAAATGGAAGCTCTTAATGACAATAATCGTCTATTGGTCAGAGAAATGCAACTATCCAGTCTTATGATTGATCATTATATCCCTCCAGAATATAAGGTATGTAATGTTTTTTTCTTTTACAGTAAAATCATATACATATATAGATTTACTTAATACTCACAATTCAACCTGAGTGTTTACAATGGCCTGTTTGAAAATAGCACATAGCTTTCAATACCAATCTCCTTGAGGAAACTCCCAAATACTTTAACCTAAAACAGGGGCAATAGTAAAGGATAGAAAAATAGAGGTAGAATGCGAATGGTAATTGTTTTAGTATTATAATGTAGAAACTATCCTTAAAATCATTAAAGCGTTTTTCAATATTTCAACTAATTGCATTAAAAATATAAAAAATGTCAGTCGAAAAGAACCAAAGAACTACCACAGAAAAGCAGAGATAACTAATTATTTGAATTCAACTGAAAACAGGGGGTTGTGCAAGGTTTTATTCAATAGTGCAATATTGAGGTTGAACATTGGCCTGCATAATCATGCTCAGAAAATGCACGAAAAAGTAGCCTTCAAATGTAATAAATATTTCATTAAAAGCTGTCTATTTTCATTTCACATTAAAATTTTTAATGTCATGAAATGAAAATGTTGCATGACTTTTTTAAACATGAATTTTATTGACAATTGATTACATAGTCTAAGAATAATTATTAGTATCAAATCAATAACAACTTATTTTTAGCAAATGATTCAAAATCACTGCACATTCAACAATGATACCCAGGAATACCAGCTTCAAGGAGTCGCATACACAGGGAACAATATGAGAAAACAACAAGCAGTCACAGAAGAAAATCCACGGATTACATTCGACATGAAACAAGTTTACCATAAATACCCAGAGAAAAAAAAGGTAACAAATAAGCGATCTTTATTAAAAACTTATTCTGCTGTACCAAAACCAACCCGATAATATTCCAAAAATCAAGTGATAGAGATTATATTTTACAATTTAGCTTGGCAAATTAGTGATGTATTTTTTTTATACAATCATTTTTTTGCAAATTCTAGTCTCATTATTTTTAAGTCTTTAGTTTAAAAATTATTCAAATACATTTGAATATTCAAGTGATTAAAAACTAGTCTAGTTATTAGGTTTTAAAAAAAAATGTCCTGATGTAACGATTCTAGTCTTTTTATTAATGGGCATGAGTTGAGAGCAGAGAAAGCCATTCTTCTCTGTATTATGTATTTTAGTTTTATGAATTTATTCTTAGTATACTCACTCATATTTTTGTTATATGAAAGCGCACCACCACTGGTATACATGTAGGTAGTTAATTAAGATATCTTTTTATATACTATTTATTTTCATGAACACAAATATTTTATTGTCCTATGGTTCCATATCTTTCTGTGGTAACGTGTTATTAATTTGTATGCACTTTTTTTGCAGGATTTAGACTCCGATGAAGAACTGTTCTAGTCAATCATTATACCATTATTTATTTATTTTTTTGAATTTTTATAGCGAGATTAATTTTTTTAATGCTCTTAAAAAAATTGTTAGTGTTATTGAAAATGAACTTGTATTATTTATTGGCAGATAACTTGATAAATAAAATTTGCTTGAGCATTAAATAGCTGGTATTATTTTGTTGAAAACATCAATACATGCAGAATCAGAGTCACCATCGAGTCAGTCTCTTCTTCACAAGCTGTGTGTTGGTTGTGCCTTTGGGGTATTTACCTAATCTGTGTATAGACTCTGACGAGTTCCCTCGGCTGTCGAGAGAGACAAAAGTATGCCCAATTTTCAGATAAAACGAAAACAATGTAATCACCAATTATCGGCCAATTTCATTACTTTACAAATTCTTGAAGGTCTTCGAGATGATTTTGTACCATTGCATCTAAAGATCTACTAGCAGTTCAATTACAAATCGATCAACATGGATTTTTGAGCAGACAATCGACGGTCAATATCTTAGCAAATTTAACTGAATTCATGAAAAGATAACTGGATAAGTATGGACAAGTGGATGTGTGTTCTACACGGATTTCTCAAAAGCCTTTGCCAAAATACCACAATATTCTTTCAATGAGATTGGCTCGAGTTGGTATGGATGCATGAGAAATAAGACTATTCAAGTCTTATTTATTACACAGACAGCTCAGTGTGTCTTACAATGGCTAAATAATCGTGTTCATGCTCCATTTTATACAGAAAGAGCAAACACAAGTCTCCTACTAAGCTTTCCTATTTACACTGCCCCATTGGTTGGCCAATGGCCAGTTATTCGCCGGCCAATAAAATTATAGAACGGAAAATTTATCTTGCAGATATAGTTAAGTAGGTACTAGCAATAGTTTATCTGAAGATTAATGAACCGGGCCTAAATCCCACAAACATACCAATCGATTTTTATGAATAAAAATCCATCAGAAAACGATCGGCATACGGTTTATGTGGGATATAAGGGTTGGCGTTCGCCCTTAAAATTTCCCATTTTTGAATGATAAGGCGGATCCTAAGATCCCACGTACACCGTATGTCGATGGTTTTTCGATGGTTTTTCGATGGATTTTTATTTATAAATATCGATTGGTATACTCAGCATACGTTATACACTCGGTGCACTTTTTGGCAGTGGGCCCTCGGTCTATTCTATACAGGGTGTTTCACGAACATCGATACAGAGGCGTTTTAGGGTATTTTAAGGTCGATTTTAAAAAAGCGCTCGGACACGTCATTTTTGTATAAACTTTGGTCAAAGTTGCCATGGGCTAAATGAAAAACAATTTTCTGGCCCTGTTATTCTCAAATTAACACTTTTCTGACTCTTCTCTCAAATAAGTCAATTTTAATTTTTTCAGAAGCACACAAAAAATGGAAAGTCAGGAAAGTGGTAATTTGAGAATAACAGTGCCAGAGGATTGTTTCTTATTTAGCCCATGGCAACTTTGTCAGTGAATATCTTGAGAACTAATCATTCGCTTTTCAAAAAAAAAAATAAGCAGTGGTGACGAGAATCAAAATACCTTTAAAACGGGTACCACTCGGCCCATCTTCCCTATCTAAAAAAGAGGGGTGAATATCACTGCACCTGGGGGATGCACCCTAGCGAAATAACGATGGGGTCAAAAAGTTTCCCCTTTGAATACAAAAATTACGTGTCCGAGCTTTTTTTAAATTTTAAATCGACCCTAAAATGCCCTAAAACGCCTCTGTTTCGATGTTCGTGAAACACCCTGTATATTTGGCCCTATGCTTACATTTGCCTTACCATACGGGCATTAGGTAAGTACGACCAAAGAATAATTAAATACCCACCTACAAATAAACCAACAAAATTGTAAACACTTGATGAAAATATATTAAAATCTATTTAAACATGAAAGGATGAAGTTAAGACTAATTAGTGAAGAACTTCTTTGCTCTTCCACCACGACCTGCTCTTGGTCCTAGAAGCTGCTGGACCATGTGGCAGCGATTGTGACGATATCTTCTTTGAATTTGGATCTGTCATCCCGCCCAATAGTATTCGAAGTAGACCTTACGGCGTCTTCACCAGCTTCTTGTTTTAACTAAATCCAGAGTGGTAGACCCTGGAGCTTTTAGCAGAACATCTGCCTAATCGGGATTCGGGAAGTCTTCTCTATGCTTTTTGTTCGGGGTTAGTTCCAGCTTTTCAAATTGCTGCAGTTTCGCGACCTCTAACCGTCCAGATTTAGACCTGGAACAAACAAATACCAATACAGTCAAACATCATTCCTGCTAGGCGACAGCACTATAATTTAGTTTTCTTTGCGAAGGTCTATTCTGACTGGAAACTTCACTTTACTTCAGGTGCTTAGAGTCAGTCAATTTTTTTGATGGCCTATAATTTTCTCCACAAAGCTGTGCAACATTTGAAAATTAGTGTACAAAACTGTGCAAAATATAACAAATATGAGACGCATTTAAAATGAAGCTTAAATTCACCGTCAAATTCGCCCCCATTTGAAAACCGTCTGTAGTCTCTCGGAGGAGGGTTTGGATTGTGCAAAATTATGTCATATTTTGTTTCAAGATCGGGGCGGCATGGGGGCAAACTTGACTGACCCGTCTCGCTTAGTTACCAACATACTTCGATGCAGAATAGGGAGATTCAGCATTACAGGCTCTTCAAATGGCGCCTCCACCACACACACATAGGTAGGGTAGGGTAGGGTGCCTATGAGACAGGGGATAGGGGCTGATTCAGAAAAAAAAACACAATACGTTTAAAACGCTTAGCGTATATTTGGCTAGACGGGGTGCTATTGGTTATGCCTCTTGACAATATCTGGTGAACTATCAATTTCGATCCTTTTTTTTTTCTGGATTTCTTGTGCGTTGGCTACCATTGTGAGTATCTCTTTTCCTTTTGGTACCTACATCGTTGAAAGTGGTTCGTGGAGAATTTTGAATCCTACCCTGACGCGTACCTCTGCCTTTAATTACATTTATGGGCATCACACTTGCCGATTTTATCGGATTTTTTTGTGGATTTTGAGGGTAAACTTGGGAGATTGCCACATGCTGGGTTTATCCTTTGGTTGTAGATTTTATATTCCTTGCGTAATAGGAATTGAGTAGTACACTGGTTTGCTGAACTTGTCCTGAGTGTAAAAACACCGGAAACAGAAAACTTTCCTCTTCCGCGCCCTTAGCTATAGGTGTTGTTTCCTAGGATTGTTCTACAATGGAATTTTTGGTCTCTTATTGTAGATAATTGGATTCTCTACAACTTTATCCTATACTATTTTTTTTTTAAATTCATTATTTACTAAGCTGACGCCCATTTTGTAAGCAATTTTGTACCTCCTATTGAACTTCTACAGGGTGGGCCTATTTTTGATACGAGAGGGAACTATTTTTCAGTTTTTTTCATCCCCATAGCTTCAACCCCCTAGCTGGGGGAAGAACAACCCCCCAAATTTGAGTAGGGGATAGGGGTCATGTCATACTTTTTTTAAAGGTCTTATCGAGTTCTTTATGACCCTACAATGTTATCTTATTATTTTTATCCGTAACCAAATGACAGCTTGTCAAAATCGTCGAAATAGACTATTGTTTTAGTATAAGAGTAAAATCGGCACTCCCGTAATAAAAATATGTAATTACAATAATTAAGTTTTATTAGGTACCTATTATTAATAATAATACGTAATATTAAAACAACTTTAATTATAGCTATAAGTATTTTTATTAAAGGGGGTGTGACCCAAAAATGAAAGTTTTAGTGCAAAAAATTTAGGAATAAATATTTAAACCGCGTCTTGCTACGATGGTCCGTTTTCGAGTTAGGGCAGTTTAAAGTTACAACTAAGTGTTTGTGACGTCACACTGGATTATCAGGGACAGTATTAACACGTGTAAGAATTTTCCAAAACAAAAGACAATTATCTCCTAAAACGAATTGCAACCACTCAAAGTATAGGGTATGGTTCACTGTCGACTGAACGAACAGAAGACTGCGATTTCGGCGGTTGTGACATCACAAGCTCCTGCATATTTTATCTTTACAAAGAATTTTCTCGGAAACTATTTTGAATATAGGACTGCGGTTTTCACGAGAGATCTTAGAATGTTTTTCTTAAGTCGTTTTTTGGGTTCACACCCCCTTTAGGAAGGTAGAGGTAAGTATCGCTTTTACTCCTACTAAAACAATAGGCTATTACCAAGATTTTGACAAGCTGTCATTTCGTTAGGAATAAAAATATTAAGACGAAATTCTAGAGTCATGAGAACTTGATGAGACCTTTGACCTTTTAAATTTGGGGGGTTTTTGTCCCTCCAGCTAGGGAGTTAAAGCTATGGGGATGAAGAAAACTGAAAAATAGTTCCCCTTCAAATCAAAAATCGACGGGTCCGAGCGTTTTACCAGATTTTCATTTCAAATCCAAAAAATTAGGGTGGAAAGTTTTTATTTGCCCACCCTGTATGGTGGTTTAATCAGAGGTACAATATTGCTTACAAAATGGGCGCTAGTACCAAAAATTCCATTGTGGCACAATGTTGAGAAACAACCCCTATCTATAGTAGCTATAAGAGCGCGAAAGAGAAAAGTTTCTGATTCCGGTGTTCATATACTCAGGACACCCTCCTTGAACAATCCTGAAAAAACCAGCTTGCCTCTAATTTATTTTTTCACACCTTCTAAAAATACAATTATCTTGGACTATATTAGGAATAATTATACATTTTTAAGCTTTACATAAATGAAGTTTTGGGTTTAATATTTCAAATACTTACTAAATTATATTAAAAAAATTAAATTGGAATTGAGATGATAATTGGATGTATAAGTTCAAGGGTTGGAATTTTTAACTAGCCTTCATATATAGCTAAGGATAATATGCGGCAACGCCAAAGACAAAATGGATATTTTATTAGGTCTGAAAGGGACCCTCATAATTGCAACTTTTGGAAAATGACGACGTCAAACACAAAAACATAGCGTAAACTGTAACGAAGTTAGCAACAGTGTTAAAAGTGTTCATTATCGTTGGCCTTTAAAGTGATACGTAATAATATAATAAAATTTTATAGCTTGTATGTAGATAGGTACTCAGGAATTGATAATTTAATAAAAGTTCCTTTTTAGTCCACAAACTC